AAAAAAAATCACATGCCCACTAATAAATACACAGATGACATTTTTGTGATTCTAAAATAATTTGCCCACCTTTTTTAATGCCCCTGAAATCCAGATTTAACTTACCATTTCACGTCTCTTATACCCTCTCTTGTCTTGTTGTCCACAGCAATAAGGACCAGGTTACACTACCTGGGGGGGAAGGGGGCTGAACTTGGTCCTGGTTATTCGCATTGTCATTTCTGGGTCTAAATAATTCTTAGTCTAAAAGAACTCTTTTATAGTTACAAAAATCATAATAGATATGTAAGTATTGTATTATTAGCAGCGCTTCTGGTTTCTATGGTCCATAAAAACGGCATATCTTATAACCTATGGCGTCTTGGATTCAGTGACATTTAGTATTTTTCATACTATCTCTAGGCAGAGGGGAACATAGATTAAAATCATTGTTCCTTTCTTCTAATCAGTATTATTATAAAGTTTGAATACTTGAAAATAATACTCTTTCTGCAAGGCTGCTTTAAAATATGGTACATATAATGCCTACATATGAGTTCACCAACAAAAGGAATATTTTTTTTGCTACATAAAGCTGAGTGAAAAGAAAGATGCATAGGTTCGCAGTTTCACTATAATTTGACATATATTTATAGATATTTTATTCCTTTTTCAATCTATTAAATAGACATACATCTATTAATCAATTGGCAAATTAAGCAAGAATGAATGAGGCTCTCTTGTGTTGGAGACCCTCACTCCTTAATAGTGTAAACATGTGTTTCTTCTTTTCATACTATCTTTTCAGGACTCCTTGGGAAAGAGATGACCTGAACCATCCCCAGGCCTGTCCCAAGAACTTTCCATGTAGCTGTTTCTTTACAAGGAAGGCATGTCATGCCATGTGTGTCTGCAGTGAGTGTGAACCTAGGAACCTGGGACAAAAGTAGGACTGGGAGGGCTGCTGCTAAGGTGGAATGAAGATGTTTCTAAGAGCCAACTGTGTGTATACATTAAAATGAAAACACCACAAAATTTATCATTTGAACCATTTGTAGTTAGACAGCTACACCTGTGGCAGAGAGCGCATTTACACTGTTGTGCAACCATCACTTCCATCCATCTCCTAAAAAGTCTTCATCTTCCGAAACTGAAATTCTGTCCCCATTAAACACTAACTCCCTACTGCCCCTCCCTCTAGCCCCTGGCTCCCACCATTCTACTTTGTGTCTGTAAATTTTACTCTTCTAGGGAACTCATAGGTGTGGAATCATGCTCAGTATTTGTCTGATTTCATCTTGTCCTCAAGGTTCATCCATGTTGTAGTGTGTCAGAATTTCCTTATTTTTCAAGGCTGAAAAATACTCCATATTACATATATACCACATTTTGTTTATCGACCTGATCCATCCAGGGACACTGGGGTTGCATCTACCTTTTAGCTGTTGGCTATCACACAGCTATGAACATGAGTGTGCAAATATCTGTTCAAGTCGCTGCTTTTTCATTCCTTTGGGTATGTACCCAGAAGTGGGACTGCTGGCCATATAGTAAGTCTATGTTTAATTCTTTTGAGGAACTGCTATACTGTTTTTCACCAAGGCTGTTCCATTTTACATTCTCATCCTTCACCCAAGAAGTGTACCCTTGGTACACTCAGGGGAGTGGTACACTCCTTCCTTGGGGCTCACACTCTGCAGGTTCCATCCCTGGCATCCCCTGATTTCTCCATGTTCTCACTGCTGCACTGGTTACTGGTCTCTATGTTGCCTCGCCCTATGTGTACCCAGGCCTTTGCTCTCTTCTCCCATCCACTGTATCTCCCACAGGCCCACGCTTCACTATCAGGGGAGGATTCCAAGGCCTAGAGTAGCTCACGGTCATATACCCCAGTGAAGTGGTAACAGGTACAGGCTTTGGAGTTTACAGAGCTGATGTGGCTACACCCTACACTGGTCGTGCCACCTGGTGAATTACTCAAGGATGCTATGGGCCAGTAATTCTGGAAGTTTAGCACTGAGGTGCCAGGGAACATGAGCTTCAGAGTAGAAGAAAGAATGGGTTCAGAAAGAGAGAACAGCCAGGTGTAGTGGCTCACACCTATAATCCTAGCACTCTGGGAGCCTGAGGCAGAAAGACTGCTTGAGCTCAAGAGTTAGAAACCAGCGTGGGCAAGAGCTGAACCCCGTCTCTACTAAAAATAAAAATACTAGCTGGGGGTTTTGGAGGGCACCTGTATCCCAGCTATTGAGGAGGCTGAGGCAAAAAGGATCACTAGAGCCCAAGAGTTTTAAGTTGCTATGAGCTATGATAGCACGGCACTATACCCAAGGCAGAGTATTGAGACAGAGTGAGACTGTCTCAAAATAAGAAAAATAAGAAAAAGCAAAAAAAGAGAGAGAGAACTTTAGAAACCATTTTATTATGACAAAATCCATTTTATTTTTGACTTTAGTAATAAAATCACAAGTTAACTGTATGGAAAATATGCCTAAGAAATAATGTTTAAAATGTACTTTGACAAAGAAAGAACTGATGAAAAGTACCAAGGCTGCCCTAAACTATGGGATTACCTTTGGACAATTTTTAGTCTTTTTTCATTGCCATCACACACTGTCTGAAGGCCTCCCTGTACCCACTGGGAGTTTCTCCACCCAGGACTATTGGCTTTGTCCTGCCTCCTACACTGTAGTGGACAGAGAGAAAAAGGCAACCCTGAGGCCCTGTTGCCCAGCTACAAGCTAGCCTAGCTCCAAATCTCCTAAACTTAGGCTTTCAGGTCCCTAGA